CTTCGTCGCGGCAACTGCGGCAAGCCAGTGTCGCAACATAATGGCGCACTCGGCCGCCGCTGCTCTGGGTGGGCACCCATCTGGGCTGATGCACTCTCCAGCCGGGTACGCCACGGTGGACCTGTCAGCTCCAGGCTCCAGCGATCCCGGCGCCTCGGGGAAGCAGTGCGCAGGCGGACCATGTCCAGCGGCAGTGCCGCACCAGAGTTCCTCCGCCGCATTACCCTACGGCTACTTTGGTAACGGCTACTACCCGTGCAGGATGGGGCGGGGTTCTCTCAAGTCGTGCACCCAGGCGACCGGAGCTGCGCTTAGCTCGCAGTACATGGACACAGCGGTGAGCTCTGACGATTATACGAACCACAGGGCAAAGGAGTTCGCTTTTTATCACGGCTACCCGAGCCCATACCAGCCCATGACCAGTTACCTGGACGTGTCGGTGGTCCAAACACTGGAGCCTCGCCATGACACACTGCTCCCCATGGAAACCTACCAGCCCTGGGCACTGACCAACAGCTGGGGGGGACAGATGTACTGCTCCAAGGACCAGGGACAGGCCGGGCACCTCTGGAAATCCGCGCTGGCCGGTAATAAGCGGTGTTTCTCCTTTCAAATGTCCTTTGTGCACTTCAGGTATTTAAGTGAACTGAATCGTGTAAGAAATTTAGTACTGTAGGTCCAGAGATAGACAACGTTTAGTAAACGGTTATCGACTTTCCTCTTAATCATATTTCAACCTGTTGATCTGATTGGCATCCAAAAATGCACTTCAGGTGGATTCTTTATATGGCGAGGTCCTTGTGCTTAAAGCAGAGACTTGTGGCTGATGTTAATGACGTCTCAGACAGTCTCATGTGCTCCGAGGGAATTTTGTACAACTGTTGCACAAGACAAGATATGTTGTTTGGAGCCTGACCATCAGATTGTCACAATATCATTATGAGTTGTGCCCTCTTATCTGTTAATGTCCAGGACAATAACAATTGGCTGTTTGATAATAATCATGCTGGATAAGGAAAGGCATTTAAAGGTGTTTCCGGTACCTGAGTGACCCACGCAAGGCATTTAACGGTGTTTCCGGTACCTGAGTGACCCACGGTATCTGGCTATTTATCAGGAGAGTGGTGCTCGTGATGTTGTTAATATCAAGATATAACACTTACCAAAATAATAATCATGAATCAAAATGATAAAACCTGCCACTTTAGATCAGTTTGATTTTATTTATCACAAACTGAAATATGCTAAAGCAATAAATGGAGAATCAGTAAGAATCAGTAAACCCAAACCGTCTAAAACAGTTGCTATGCAGAAATAGAAATGCACAGGCACACAGTCCAGGTCAGCTTCATAGGCATGCTGCTTTCAGACATCAGACATCCACCATGTTGCCTGTCGGTGTCGCAGGATTGATGTCCAATCAGCTCCAAGAAACAGTGTCGACACGTCAAACACTAAATGCAACACAGCATAGCTTTCGTCTGTGTGAAGCTCTGTGTAGCTTGTGCAGCCTTGCCCTCAGACCTCCTGTCTGTCATTTCTGTCCCGCTTTCAAACAGATGTGGTGGCACACCAGCAGGAAGGCTCGCCTTTCCGCCGAGGCAGGAAGAAGCGGATACCGTACACCAAGGCGCAGCTCAAAGAACTGGAGAAGGAGTACGTCGCCAACAAATTCATTACAAAGGACAAGAGGAGGAAGATCTCGGCCGTGACCAACCTGTCAGAGCGCCAGATCACCATCTGGTTCCAGAACAGGAGGGTGAAAGAGAAGAAGTTCGTGGCCAAAGTGAAGAGCAGCGCGCCGTAGCATCCTGGGTCCTGCTGTTTGGACGATTTAGTAAAGGGACTTGGCGCATTTGCATTTTATAAAACAAATGAACCGGGTGAAATGAGAAAAGATGGCGATGTAAAGAAACTCGACATGGTACCCGAACTGGGACTGTGAGTCAAAACGTGGAAGGGAAAGACGAATCAAAACGATATGAAAAAAGAACCAAAGCCCTCTAATAAATAGAGGCATTTTGTTAACTCAGCACCTTTCTGTCTGCTTTTATATTACTCTATGTTGTCCTGTTTGTCAGTGCTGTACGTGCCCAGTAGCCCGTAGCTGAAAACTTATTATTATGCTTATATCACCTGTAACCAAAGTATAGTGCAACACATAATAAATCCTTTTAATCCCGACGTCGTCTCCTTCAGGTCATATCTTTAAATGAATCCAGATAAAAGCTGGCAACTTTGGATTCGTGCGCTATGCGTCTTCAACAAACTATGTCCGTAAGAAAAAAAAAAAAAACAACTACTAACAAAGTCGCATTTAGCTCATATCAAAGGCTGAAGATGAATATGATGAAACATCAGAGCAGTCAAACAGCCGGCGCAGTTTCAGGCCTCTGTCTGGAACATTACCACGTCCCGCTGTGTGTCCTACACAGAATTAGACCAGTGATTAAACTTATTTAGTTCACTCAACATTTCTAAGCCCTGAATTCAAACGCATCTCAGCCTGAAGCGGACAATTCAGATTAACACTGGCATCTTCCTTCAGTTATTTGTGCTGATGTCTCAAAAGACAGCGCGAGAAAATAGCCTCTAATATTTCAATTACAAAAATGGCACAGTATAAACTTGGATTGCAGTGAATTATTTATGCTTTATTTTAATTTAAAAATCACCAAATACTTATAACTTCTTAAGGTTCTCAGCTAATTCCCACAAATTAACATTATAACCAATAACTATATAATAAAGGCTGAAAAAGAAATACAGTAAATTAGAATAGAATGAATTTTTAATTAAAAAGCTAAATATTAGGCGATATGAAGTATATATTTTATAAAGAAAACTGAGCACAGTAGGCTGCTTTTATACCTGTGACGTGAATAGACGTAAAAGAAAATAGTAACATTATAATATAAAATAATAAAATAGCAACATAGAATAACAGAAATAGGATAGAAATAGTGCATTATTTATTTACTTGTATTTATTATTATTATTATTTTTAAAAGCCTCTATTATACAAACGACCAGACATTAAATAACGCTATTGTTTGGGCGCCTGGTGAATAACCTTGCACCCACATTGTGCCTGTGTGCGTGAGAGAGAGGGACCTTGACCTTGAGAGCCACTTGAGAGCTCAGCTTTCATTTATGTCTGCTGCTAACCTTTTACGACAGCGGGACATCGCTGTGTTGTCTTGCCTGATGGAGACGTTTCCCAACACTCATTCGCTCTCCGATCAGCAGGTTTGGATCCATCGACCCTTTCCTGTGTCACGTCCACTGTCACCGCCACCAGTGAGTGGCAGCAGCTGTCGGCGCACGCTGCTTGTCTGCCTCAGCTTTGCACAGGGTTGGTCAGCCATCAGCTGCAGCCAGGTTCCTTGATGTGTCAATTTGCGTACACAACTTGTTTCTAAATGACATCAGCACATCGACGTGTACGTGCGTAACGTACATGTCGATGAATTGAGATTTCGTTTCAGTAGTTTCTCCACAATAGTCTGACATTAGACTGCAGAATCTTTCTGTTGACCGGTTCAATAATTCTCTTCAAAATAGGAATGATATCAAAACCTTGGTTCATGACTGCAGGCCTGACGGGGCAGGATGGCGTTACGTGTCAGCTCCACAGTCAGTTAGCATCAGGAAAACACTGTGCTGTACACAAAATTGGAAAAATGATCAAAAAGTACATGCAGTTTTGTGTGTCCTTGTATTCTTAATTCATAAGCTTGTCTAAACTATACTGCTCAAAAAAATAAAGGGAACACAACATAAGACATCCTAGATCTGAATGAATGAAATATTCTTATTAAATACCTTGTTCATTACATAGTTGAATGTCTTATTTTCCCTTGTGTTCCCTTTATTTTTTGAGCAGTGTGTATCTGTGTGATCCAAATGCCGTAGTCCAAGGTCTTAGCACCACGACATTGGTTCTGACCACAGACGCAGGCCGATCTCTTTGTCTCCAACACGGGACAAACAGACCCGAGAGGCTGCGCCACAGGCTTGCGCACAGAGAAATGCATCGAACCTTCGTGTCATGACAGGTTTTGCTTTGCATGTAGGACATTTTCAGTGAAGTAAACAGTTTGAAGATTTCATTTGCACTATTGTGGTGATATTTCCATATATTATCTTTAAACACTTTTGGCAATGTGTGTAAATATTCATTGCCACACATGTATATTTATCTTCTAGAACAAATATTCTCTCTTAAACTATCTTGTAATACGCTCCGAAGTTGAAGATGATCATTTTCTGCTTCGGTCTTTTTACGCCTTTGTCCTTTACATACAGAAAAGACACAGCACAGTGAGTTAAAAGTATATTTCATATGCACTCACGAAAGTTTGACGTAACTGCAGACTTTTAATTAGTGCTCCTTTAGAAGTTGGTAAACATATTAAATGCTTTTCATTGTGCTGCGGTGCAAGCAGCATGAAACTTCAGGTTCTTTTAAAAAGTTTAAACTTTAAACAGACGGTAAGCTCAAATGGAATGGTCAGCACTGTCCATATCTGGGAAGAACAGGAGGAGAGAGCAGAAAAATGCAGGACTACACTGTTCATAGTAAATATATACAAATAGAGTGCAATAGAATAGAATATACAGATGCACACAGAGAGCAAAGTTGTTGTTTATATCCAGGGAATATTAATAAAATAAATAAAATTCAGTTTTTTTGTAAAGCTGAATGTCATGTTCTCTCTCTCTCTCTCTGTGTGTGTGTGTGTGTGTGTGTGAGAGAGAGAGATGTGGTGTGTGTGTTAAACATTAACACTAAACTTGACAACAAGGCGGTGTGCTCTGCTGGCCTGTTGATTCTGTTTAACTGCTCTGTCTATGTCCTCTTTTAAAACCAACAATGCCTACGGAAGCCCTGAAGTTCATAAAGCTCACTCTCCCCCAGATACCAGAGATTCGAAGAGGGAAGAGGAGGAGGCCTGAGCTGCGCCATCGATTCACATGGTCTTTTTTACTGTTACAAAATATCACATTCACTTTCAATCCAAGTTGGTTTCATCATTTTTTTAAAGTTAATTTTCGCATCGTGTCAATTACAATATCGTTAGTTTCACTTTTGAAGTCGCATTAGGTTTTGTCACATGTTCACCTTATTTGATGTGATACACTTTGCAAAAAAGAAAAGGCCCTTGAATGTACAAGTTATTATATTTATTTTTTGGAAGTGCAGTGAAGATTGGTGCTGACAGATATCTGTAAAAAGAGTGTTAGTGCAGTTTTGACTAACCATATAATGTCTTATCTTAAAGCTGATTATTTTAACTAAAAAGCAGCAACAGTAATAGTAATGAATTTCGGGGTTCAGTGCAACTAATTAAATAATTCTTAAGTATCTGCTTAACACAGAGTAAACACTAGAAGGGGAGCCATTGGTTAAATAAAATAAAACATAATAGACATAGATTGTGTACAATGCTGGCAATGAAAAGCCTCTGTTGACTGGAAGCAGCTCACCTTCAGTACAGTTACATGAGAGCAAAACAGCAGCTCTCTGGATTCAATCTGTGTAAATCCGTGTGTTATTATGAGCCTGACTGCAGCTAACCTTTAGTTTTAACACAGATGTAGCCTATAGGAAGAGTCAGCTTTTTAGCTTCTTATAAATGCATTACATAGAGTATAGTGGAACAAAAAGGGATGTGACTCATGTGACTTTGACCTGCTGTGGTAGTAAAAGTAAAGTGAATAGAAACAGAGCGCTTCACATTCCTGACTGCTGCCTCAAGCTGACAGCGAGATCACATTTGTACTTCACAATTAACCTACAAGAAATATAAGCTATAACTACCTAATCACAAAAACAAAAATGAACTTGTGATTCAAGTTTGATTCAAACATCCCCTGTTAATTTACATGATTAATTGAATCATACAACAAAACTGAGTGTTCTCCATGCATTATCATTAACATGTTAAATGATTCAAATTTGTACCATCTCACATTATTTGGTCTCATGCATAATTACAAACAGGCGAGAAAGACTACAGTGACAGTGAAGCCCAAAGTACAACCTTAGTGCAAAGAAGTGCATTTACCTGGGACCACTACAACACACTGATTGTCATTATGCCTGCAATTTTTAATTATGGCTAACTGCATGAATGCATTTTTAAAATAAACCATGAAAGCCACATCTTCCTCCGCTTTGGCCTGGGTTGTGGCTAATGGCTCCATGTGGTGAGGAACGGCCCTAACAAGTAAGAAACCATACTGAGACTTCCTGAAGATGGTAGAGGGCACTGGAGCATCAGTAGCTACTGAACAGAAGCTGAAACAGCTGCAGCAGATTTGTACTGCCAGTCAGAGAAGATGCAGTGTGGGTCTTTGAAAAGTGATTCACATGCAAGCCTTTGACTTGGCAAAAGAACGACCTGGTGTATTAGTGACTGATCAGACAGTGCATGAAGTCAACCTCTATGGAGAGTATCCAAGAAGAAAACCATTGTTCACAAAACTATGACATTACACTTTGCCCAAGAACATTAAAAGAAGCCTGATGAATATTGGCAGCATATTCTTTGGCTGGATGAAACTATAATAAATGAGTTTCAATCATCATGCTTGTTGTGGACCTGACCAGATTCAACCACAGCAGTTAACGAAGGAATTGGAAGCTGCAGAGGAGTAGAAGTACGTTCATGACACCTGTGAGCTCCAGCCTCTGACACTGACCTTCACTGCTGCCAGGCAAAGAAAGTTCTGACAACTCCTCTCCACATTAAGATATAGTTTGGGGCCTATTTCTACTAATACTGTTAGAAAAAAAATATACATACTGTAGCTTACAAATTCAGGTTACTATTTGCCATGCTTATAGACATCTTAGCAATCTGAAGTTGGTTTACAGTAACTGGGTTTGTGCCTGTATACTCCCATGTATGTAAAAAGGGGACTCTGACTGTTGGCTGTCAGTGAACAGGATGTCATAGAGCAGCAGTGCTGCATCCACCTTATGTAAATCACATTTCCTTCTTGTCCAGCAACCATAGCCTTCTGAATTAAACAGAGCAGAAGTGTGATAACACAAGAAATGTTTGATATTTTTCTCCTACTCTATTCTATTCTGCCCCCCATGTTGCATTTCCATCCCTGCAGGGGACACTGCTTTGACTTACATTCATTTCCTGGAGTCGTCCCCTAACTTTAAA